TCAGGCTCATGCACTTACAGAGCCCAGCGTCCCAGGCCAAGTGTTCCACCTGCAAAGCCAGGTGTCCCAGGCCACGTGTCCCTGCGGTAAGATAGGAATGAAAGTCCCTTTCACCTCACAGAGCTGTCAGGGACACATTTCCAGGACCATGTGGTGGCTAGTCCTGGGTGCTGGCAGCTCCAGGGAGCACCTTCCTCCTGGGCTGTTCCTGCTCCAAGTCACCTCCCCCACCATGGTCATGAGGACTGCGGGGTCAACCACCCACCCCCTGCTAGGGTTGACGACACGTCCAGCGTGAGCTATGTATGGAAGTGGACATTTCTTTAGCAGGCACACTTTAAAAGGCATAAAGGAACAGGGGAAATTAATTTTAATTTATTTAACTTGATATATCCAAAATATCATTTCAATAAGTAACAGTATGAAGATTGGAGTGACATATTTTCTGTTCCCTGTCCTACCCTGAGGCTGAAATCAGCATGGCCTCACACTTCCAGTGCATCTCACTTGGACCGGTGCTGTTTCCAGAGCCTGGCAGGCACCCTGGGCTCATGACTGCCACAGGAGACAGTGTGACTCTGGACAGACAGCTATGCACTGGTGCTTTTCAGTAAATGACTGTGGTCCTAATGCAGCTCTTCCTACGAAGAGAACAGGAGACAGAAAGCTTAGTTCTGCTCAGCTTTGCACGTGGGGACCCTAGAGGGCCTGACCTGTCATTGTAGCTGTGCTGGCCTGGAAACATGCTGAGACAGACTGCTTCCAAAGGGAACCAGTTCCTGAGCCTGGCATAGCAGGAGCCCACTACTAGGCAAAGGGCTGTCAGGAAGGAGGTAGACACAAGTCCTGTCTGTCCCCCAGGCTACAGAGCTCCCTGCCTGTGCTGAGGCTGGACGGGGCTGGAGTTCTGCAAATGCCCAGGACCCTGTGCAGGGCTGTCACGTGCCCCCATGAGTGGAGAATCACCCACAGGTCTTCTCTCAGGGTCACTGTGGGGCCTGGGGGTGATGTGGGAAGGTTAGCCACCGTTGGAGGCCCCAACACTGCTACAAGGTCTGATAGGAGGGGGGCACGATTGCCGCCACCCCAGTTCACCCACTGGGGGCTGGTGGTGATGACAGGGACAGGCCCAGGTGGGGATCAGAAAGGCTTCACGCCCGGATATGTCACCTGGGAGGGTTGGTCATGAAGTGGGGGCGGGGAGCAGTGTGGCCCCAGCTGAGGAGGCAGAGAAATGGTGGCCAGGGCCTGGAGCTCAGAGGCATCTTCCTGTCGGGGGAGGTGAGAACAGCAGTCCTTCCTTTTCAAGTCTGCAAGTCCCGAAGGCCATGCGATCACCACGTAGGGGAGCTGCGCCTGCATTTTCATTTCTGTGCAGAAGGTTGCGTTCCTGGAGCCGGGACCTCGGAGTCAGTCGCCAGGCCACGGCGAACGCTGGCTCCAGGACCACCCCTTAGCTGGCTTTCTTCTCTCCTGGTCTCACTCCCCACCCTCCGGTGGGTTTCCTAGGACCACCTCCCACACAGACTGTTTGCCCTTGACTCTATCTTGCAGGCTCTGCTCCTGGGGGGCCCGGGCTAAGACAGGTTAACGATATGTAGCCAGCGCTGATTATGCGACGCACGCTTAAGGGGATTCTGGCCGAGGTCTCTTTCTTTCAGGCTCAGGATCACTTTTGGCCCCTCGGGCAGTCTTTTTCACTAAAGGGTCACAAGCCCTACGTTTCCTGGTTGAGGTCTCATGAGCAAGCGTTGACGGAGGTGCATCCGCTGCCTGGCCCAGGCCGTCCTCACCGGGGTCATGGGGCCCCTTGGCTGACCCCTGCTCCCTGGCTTCCCGGTCTCTGGACTGCCCACCTCCCCGCCCCTGGAGTGGACTCCCCAAGACACAGGCCAGCCAGTGCGTGGCGTTCCCTGGGGCCCCAGGGGNGGCTGACCCCTGCTCCCTGGCTTCCCGGTCTCTGGACTGCCCACCTCCCCGCCCCTGGAGTGGACTCCCCAAGACACAGGCCAGCCAGTGTGTGGCGTTCCCTGGGGCCCCAGGCCCGGCTCTGCCCTCTCCGGCTGTGGCCCAGGGGCNAGTGGACTCCCCAAGACACAGGCCAGCCAGTGCGTGGCGTTCCCTGGGGCCCCAGGGGCCAGCCGTTTATCCTGTGAGACCGTTTCTTCATGTGCAGGAGCCCTGCCACCAGCTGCCCAGTCCCTCTGACAACAGCGAGGAGTAGTCACAGGGGGCCCTGAACTAGTTTCGCCCCTCCCAGGTGTGCTCTGCTCAGGCTGCCAGTGCGAGTCTTCCCATGGTCTCCTCTGCACATTTCTCCCCTCATTTCTCTAAGGACACGAGTCATACTGGATTAGGGCCCTTCCTCATGACCTCATTTTACCTTAATTACATTTTTAAAGGCCCTGCCTTCAAATATGGTCACTTTCTGAGATACGAATTTTGGAAGGGCATAGCTCAGTCCCTGACACTAGCTGTGTGACCTTGGGCAAGGTCGTTGGCCTCTCTGTGACTCGGTGTCCTGCGGTAACGTGTAATGACAAGGTTATTGTGAGGACCAGAGCCACACGTCTGCTTAGGGAGTTCCCAGATCGCTTCAGAGCTAGGCACCCTTGGGTGCGTTTTGTTGACATCTAAACTTTTTCATCATAAATGTAGATTGTTGCAAAGGTTGTAATTTCCAGAGCATCACACATATTGGCATCTTAAAAAGAAATGGTTAAGCCACTCTTTTATGTCTAAATGATTCGTAACTACATCTGCTGATTTAAAAAGACTCCATAAATAAACTTTTGCTGTTAGGAATTTTATATTGTTCCTTTATTTTCAATTCACTTACCCAACAAAATTTTATTCTACTTTTTAGAACTTTTGTTTTGAAAGTCCTTTATTGATTACCCTGTTTTACTTTGTAAAATAATGTGTAAAAAACTTTTAAGTTTTTTATTTCCTTATTGCATAAGTCTCTAGGTTTTAATTTTTTTCTGGATTGAGTTATCAATACTGCACAATTAGTAATATTTGGAAAATGACTGTAAAATTAATAAAAACCACATAAATATAAAATTTATATAAATAATTAATAATCACAGGAAGTAAAGTTTTATTAGAAATGTATCTTGTTAAGATGGATTTCTACTTTGCCCCACATGCCCTTGTATGAATTTGGTTAGTGACAGACTCAGCATCACTTTACTCCTGCCTCTTTAATGGCTGGGAGCTCTGAGATGCTCCGCGCAGAGTGAACAGAGGCAGGGACGGCGTCTTCCGATGCCACCCAGTACTCCAGGCTGCTCCCCTGTTTTGAGTCAAAGCCACGGACTGATTCTCATCAAAATGGTTTTAATCCTCTGCAGCCGACAACTGGCTCAGGCCACTTTTCAGTCCTCGTTGGAAGCGAAACACTGGAAACCAGCCCCAGTGAAAGGTTCAGTGGCCCTGACATTCGCCTTTCACCTTCTCAACGCTGGCACCAATATTTCAGATCATCTCTTGTGTGGTGCCCGCTGGTTTTTGCCCCCAGGACAGGCCTCCATAGTACAGGTCAGGGTGGGTGAGGGGTGGGCCTGGATTTCTAAAGTAGAAAGGGCGATGTGACGGGAGGGAGGAGAGGAACATTGCCTCACCTCAGGCCTGTTTCAGGAGGAAGAATTCTTAGGAAGGAGTGTCATGGAAGGTGAGAATCTGGACATAGATTTCCTTAAACTGTCCCGCTTAAGAATGCCTGGGTTTGCAGCCCCCGGGAATGCACGCCATGGCTTTCTGAGGCGTTCCATAAATACTAACTCTGGCTTTATGGTGCTTGTATCTCTGAACTGTTCAGGACATAGTACTGGAACGGGATACAGCAGCTGCGATGCAGAGAGAGTTTAGGCCCTCCAAAGCTGAGGTTCCGTCATCCTGGCGTGGAACCTGAATTGGTCACCCGCTTGACAGATCACCCCAAATGTGTAGCTTAAAACAACATTTGATTTGCTCACAGTTTTGTGGGTCAGCAGTTTGGGCTGGGCTCAGCTGGAGTCACTCACTCATGCAGCTGCAGCCCAATGGTTGATCAGCTGGGCCTGCTTTGGGGCCCCAGCTGAGTTCACTTGCATCTGTTCCCTGTGGTCTCATCTTCCAGTAGGCTAGCCAGGCTTCTTCAAGTGGTAGCAGAAGAGTTCCCTGCAAGGAGGGAGGAAGGTAGAGCGGGAAGAGAGAGGGAGCAAGGGAGTGAGCATGCGAGCATGCCACAAACCTCGGAGCACAGGGGCCTGTTATGTCTCTGCTTGGCTAAGGTTTCATTGGCCAAAGCATGCCATGTGGCCAAGCCCAAAACCAGTGTGGGAGGGTTTTACACGTGGGTGTGGATACAGGAAGGTGTGGTCACTGGGGCCACTGGTATTACAGTCTTCTGCACAACACCAGGCCCTGTGGCTGCTTCAGCTTTACTTCTGTTTGAGGCAAACTCAACTGTGAGCTTAGATTGGACACTTGTTAGGATAACTCCTAGGTATTCTTATTTCTCCTCTGCAACTAGAATCTCGTTTTCACAAGGACACGCACTGTGGAGTGTATCTTGCTCTCAGCCTGTTTTCCTAAAGGCATCCTGTTAGTCCTAGAAGAGCATTGATCAGAGAAAGGAAACCCATTTTATAGAGAAGAGTGTCTAAGTGGAAACAGGTGGCCCCAAAAAGGCCTTTTTGTCATTAAGGCAGAGCTCAGAATTGGGTGACTCTTACTCCTGGAACCTTCAGGTTAGAACCCAACTCAGCCTAGCAAAAAAAATGAATGTTTTGGGTTATGTAACCAGGAGGCCGGCTGTACGGCTTCATGCCTGGTGTGACCCAGTGGTGGAACAATATCAAGTCACTGGTGTCCACTCTCTGGCTCTCTGTACTCATGCAAAGAGATGTATGAGAGTACAACACCTTAAGCCAGTATCTGGTCAACATCTGTTAATCCTGGGGCATATATGTCAGCATTTGCTGATCATCTTCTATTTCTTTCTCCTTTCACAGTGAGACATTATTTGGTGAAATGCCCTCAGAACAGGTAAGAATATTTTTGCTTTTACTTTGTTTTGATATTACCAAGAAATTGGTTAAATTTGTACTTTTACTTAAAGGTGTGCATATTAGTCCACAAATTGACCTAAAAATGTGTGTGCTGCATGTATTTACATATTTCCAGAGCCATGCTCTGGCTGTTACCCTCAAAGGATCCAGAAAACGTGTGTTTCATGCTGGCCCAGCACGCATGCTGGAGGAGGCTTGGTGCTCTGGAGGGCAATTCCCCCATTTAGAAAGGGGCTGGCAACTAGACCAAACAACTTTGATGCCTTCTGATCACAATCACTCCTAATCTTTTTCCAACAATGCCTGCTTGTCCTATGCCCCACTCTGCAGAATATAGCCATTAGTAATATATGTGCTAAGATGTGCCTTTTAGCTGATGGGACATACTTTGCAGGTATAATAGTATGGCAAATATCGCAAACTCATAGTGTTTAAAAATGTGAAACTTTTGATCCACACAAGATGACATAGGTCAATTTGTCCCTGCTAAGCACAACCATAAACCTTGGAAATAATATGAAACAACCAAAGGAGGACTCTGAAAGTTGTTTAAAAAAAATTATGAAAACCAAAGACAAAGGGAAAAATCTTAAAAGCAACCACAGAGAAATAGTGTATTATCGATAGGGGAACACACATTTTAATGACTGCATTTTTCATTGGAATTCATGGAGGACAGAAAGAAATGGAACCACTTTTTTCAAATAGTGAAAAAACCCCACAAAAACACTGTCAACCACTAATCCTATATCCAGCAAAATTATCCTTTAGGGAAAAGGGGAAATAAAGATATTCTTAGATTAAGGGAAACTAAAGATATTTGTCACTATCAGGCCTACTTTAAAAGAAATTCTTTAAATAAAAGAGAAAATCTTGGTGCATTAGGAAGGAAAAAAGGACTTATATGGGTGCATAAATAGACTATTTTTTTCCTCATGAGTTTTAAAAATAATATTTGAACCTGGCCGGGCGTGGCTCAGTGGTTGAGCGTCGACCTAGGATCCAGGTGATTGGGGTTCGATTCCTGGTCAGGGCACATGAGTGGGTTGCGGGCTCATCCCCAGTAGTGGGCACGCAGGAGGCAGCCGATCAGTGACTCTCTCATCACTGATGTTTCTGTCTCTCTCTCTCCCTCTCCCTTTCTCTCTCTGAAATCAATAAAGGTATATTTAAAATAAATAAGTAAATAAATAAATAAAATAATATTTGATGATCAAAACAAAAATTATAAAACCATCTGATACTCAAGAAGAGCATTATGATATTTAGAAGTGGAGAAGGTAAAGTGACCTAAATAGAAGTGAGGTTTCCACGCTTCACTGAAAGTGATAGAAGGCTGGTACCGGTGGACTGTGTAAGTCACCCATGTATAAAGTGACCTCAGTATCCCACTCCTTCAGCAAGATGTGTCTGAGAGAGAAGATCAGAGTAGCTGTCCCCACTCCTGATGTGATCCCCGTTGAACTCTGAGATAAAGCTCACTCCAGAAGCCAGGCACCAGAGGGCGAGCTGCCTTCTCCCTCGGCCTCCCTGCCGCCTTTTCCTGGGGTGCTCATTGTTCCCATGAGCTGAAGTTAATGGCACCCGTGTGTTGCACAGTCACAGATGGGGCAAGCGTATTTCTGGCTGAGGCAATGTGCACGTGCAGTGAATGGACACCGTCCAAAGGATGGAAAAATATATACCATGCAAACAGAATTAAAAGAGAGGTTATAACTAAATTAATTTAAGATAATATATAATTTAAGACAAGAATTATTATAAGAGATAAATAATTATTTATAATTATTANTAATTTAAGATAATATATAATTTAAGACAAGAATTATTATAAGAGATAAAGAAGGAAGTTTCATTATTATAAAGGGTCTAAACATCAGGAAGATATAACAATTATAAATCTATATGAAGCAAACATAGAAAATTGAAAGATAAAATAGATGATTCTAGAATAATAGCTGATTTCAATACTTGCTCTCAATAATTGGTAGAATACCTGGACAGAAAATAAACAAGGGCACAGAAGGTCAAGCAGTTGGACCTCATATATAAGAATACTCTACTCAGTGATTGCATGATACTTTTCAAGTGTACTTGGAACATGCTCCTGGATAGACCATATGCTAGGCCATTAAACAAAACTTAAGAATTTTAGCCCGGATGGGCATGGCTCAGTGGTTGAGTGTTGACCCAAGAACTAGGAGGTCACAGATAAAACTGCTTACAGAAAAAGATTATGGCTTTAAATGCCTATATTAGACAAGAAGAAAGGTCTTAAATCAATAACCTAAGCTTTCATCATAAGAAACTAGAAAAAAAGTGCCAATGAAATCCAAAGAAAGCAGTATAAAAGATATAATAAAGATTAGAACAGAAATCAATGACATGGAAAACAAACACACACATAGAAATATAATGAAACCAAAACTTGGTTCAACAGAATTTACAATCCTTAAGTTAGACCATCCCTGAAATAAAAAAAGATAGAGGAGAGAAAAAAACAACCAGCAACCCAATTACCAAAATTAGGAAGGAAAAGAGAATCAGGCCCTATAGAAATGAAAAGGATTATAAGGAAATTTTATGAACAAGTTTATTCTAACAAACTAGACAACATGGATGAAATGAAAAAAATTCATAGGAAGACACAAATTACCAAAACTGATTAGAGAGCTGTAATTTGAATAAACCTGTAATAATTCAAGAAATTGAATTGTTGTCTAAAACCTTTCCAACCAAGAGAAGCCCAGGCCCACATTGTTTTACTGGTGATGTATATCAGGCATTAAAGAAAAAACAAATGCCAACCCTTCACGAACTCTTTCAAAAAACGTGAGAAAGCATAGTCTGTTCAACCGATGGTGCTGGGACAAAATGTGTAAAGAACTCTTTACCACTCAATAATAAGATGACAAATACAATTAAAGGTGGACAGAAATATCTGAATAGACATTTTCAGATATTTTGTATATATTGTATATANAGAACTCTTTACCACTCAATAATAAGATGACAAATACAATTAAAGGTGGACAGAAATATCTGAATAGACATTTTCCTTAGTAATATATACAAATGACTAACAAGTTCATGGAAATGTGTTCAAAATCGTATTAGAGAAATGCAAATCCAGCCACCATGTGATGCCACTACACACCCACCGCAGTGTCTGTAATAAAAGCAGCAAGTGAAGGCTTGGCAAGGGGGTGGAAAAACTGGCACCCTGTAGACTGCTGGTGGGACTGGTACGTGGTGTAGCCACTTTGAAAACGGTTTGGTGGTTTCTTAAAACTGAACGTATCACCCAGCAATTCCACTGGTAGGAATCTGCCCTAGAGAAACGAAGGCATATGTCCACAAAAATACATACATGCAGTTGGTCATGGCTGCTTTATTCATAAAACCAGAGCTGGAGAAAACCTAAATATATTCACCAACTGGTGTAGAGAGAGACAAAATTTAGTACATTCATTCAGTGACACGCTATTTGATGATAAAAAGGAACGAACTGCTGACGTGTGCTACAACAGGCATGGACCTCAAAAACACTGAGTGAAGGAAGTCAGGTGCAAAAATTGCTTATTGTATGATTCTGTTTGAAATGTCCAGGAAAGAGACAGAAAGTGGATTAGTAGTTGCTTAGGGCTGGAGGTAGGAATAGGGATTAGCTATAAATGCGCAAGAGGGACCTTTTGGGGGTGAGAGAAATGTTCTAAACTGCATTGTGGTGAAGCTTCACAACTGTGTAAATACACTGACAATCGCTGAATCGTACACTTATGATCAGTCAAGTTTATGGTAAGTAAATTATGCCTCAGGAAAGCTCTGTGTTTCTTTTTTTAGAGCATATGCCCCCACAAGGCCCCAAGGACTGCATTTCAGATGTGGGGGAGGTGATGGTGGGGTGGTCAGAGGCCGTGGGGAGCAGCCTGCAGGGTTTCTCGGGATGTGCTGTGATCTGTGTATGGCCTTCCCATGCTAGTATGTGGCCCCAGGCATTTAGGCCGCTTCCCACCCCCACCCCCGTCCCAGACCCTCCACTTGCCCCTGGTCTGAGCTGGTGCTGACCAAAGCTAGAAGCCTAAAAGGGGGCATCATCCCAGCCTTGCAGGCATTGGAGTTTGGTCCCCCTAGCCCTGGGATTCCCACCAGAGGTCAGATATGACCAAGGCCTGCTGAAATGCTGCCCCTCCACCAGCTGGTGCTGTCGGCAAGGCTGGCTGTATGCCCGAGTTGAGCTCTCCCTGTGGGCATGTCTTGTGTTGCCAGCCCACAGACCTGCCCCCCTGGAGGGCCTGCTTTACTGCACTGCACCCTGAACCCCGAGGGGGCCAGGCCTGCTCCCACAGAGCTGGAGATGGGCACCCTGCTGACTTCCCTTATCGTCTGGACTAGAGCCTCATGCTGGTTTGACTAGGTGCAGCCCAGGTCCTTGTCACGGCACCACACTGGTGACAGTCTGTGCCTTTAAGCCGGCCCCGGCACCTGGCTCCAGAGCTGACACGCTGTCCCAGGTGTGCTTGGAATCCTGGATTCTGTTGTGAGCATGTCACACAAATGACCAAGGAGCAGATGCTGCAGAAAAGTCAGGGCAGCGAGAGGAGGAGTGGGAGGGACGTGGCTGTGGGTGTGGGGATGGCTGCTGCCACCCAGCACCCCGGACTTGAAGAGCCCCGTGGGCCCAGGTCACGGACACTGATTCGCAGACACCCAGCCATGGCGGTGGTTGTTTGTGCTGAGCCCACAAGTATGCTGAGTGCTTTCCCCTCTGCCCACATTCGCCCAGGTGGTGGGGCAAGGACAGCAGACAACCATGTGTCTTCTGGCCTCCCTCCGGCACCCCTCACATCACTCGTGTGCCATCTTTTCCCCACCGCATCCCAGGGCACGGGTTCGAGCTTCTTCCTCCCCTGGTTGCTAGTCCTGGCGTAATGTAGAGAACGGTCCACCTGGATTTGGTGTGAACCTGCGCCCTGC